TTCATTAAAAATCAATTAATAAATGGATCTAAATAAATTTATTAACTAAAAATAATTTTTACTCCATAACACATTTACAAACTGCAATGCGCATAAAATTGATTAAAATTTAAAATTTTATTGATTGATAAAATCATACTTAAGACTTAAGAGGATGCCACACCTGCATATGTTATCTCCATCTTATATACATACAACACAGCAAATTTTCGTTCAGCAGAATCCATTTCATATTTTTTGCTTTAATATTAAAGTAAATTTACCTATTATCAAACTTAAAGCTAAGAATTTTATCTAGGCCAACACATAGGCTGTTATTAATATTATAATTTTAAAGTGAGTTATGAGCATTTTAAAATTTTAATATTTTACATAGCTATAACTCATTTTCAAATTAAAGTATTAATAAAAACCATGTGATGGCCTAGATAAAATTCTTAGCTTCAAGTTTGATAATAGGTAAATTAATTTAAATATTAAAAATAACAACATAAAATGGATTCTGCTGAAAGATAATTTGCTATGTTGTATGTATAAATACAGATATAAGCGATAAGTGATAACACATGTAAGTAGGGCGTTCTCTTAATAAAAGTAGTTTGTTATATACTTATATCACGATATTTATAGGTTAGATTATAATTATTCACAAAAAATAGTTTTTACATAGAACTTATTGTTTCTTTACTAAACAGTAAGCCCACCAAGCAATATTTCACATTTAAATTTGATATTATAATAAATCATGAATATCTATTTAAAATAATATACGGATAGTTTAATAAGAAAATATTAAGTTTCAAAGTACTACTTTAACTACAATTGGTTATTTATTAAATTTTTAAGACGATTTAAAAAAAAAAACTGAATGTTATTATAAATTGTTATTTACATATTTATTCAATTATTCATTTTGATGTAAATTATAGTGTTACGATAAAATAATGTACTAACATTGATAATAACAGTCATTATATAATATTAATACTATTGTTACATTACGATATAGTAATAGGTACTCACTACCCATATATTATACAGTAGATTTTTCAAATTATTATTACCTACTATTATACATTTAATAGACATAATTTACAATTATTATTTTTTGGTAGTTAATATAATGCAATTATTATAGTGATTTTATATATAATTTAAGAACATAAAATAAATTATTATCTTTAAAAATTTAAATATGTATAATTTATATTTTTGTAGTACTTACCTAAATGAAATATTTTATATTTTTTAAATGTTGTGCAGAATGTGTTTAAAATTAAACTTGATAATAATTTTTATCATTATTGTATACATATTATAATATAATATATTATATTATATATATTATAAACATATTTTTAATTTTTTAATTATTTAAAAAAATCATCATTAATTATAAAACACAAAAATATAAATTACAATATAATGAATATCTATCTTTTTTAAGCAGAGCTTGAGTTAGAGATAGAGAGTGTAACAATATTATACTAAAAATAATTAAAGTTTAAATTTATATAAATTATATTCAGTAATATTAGTTATTTAAAAATTAAAGAATATAATTAGAAAATATAAAACAGAGAAATCAGAAATACAAGAGATAACAAAATATTATTTTTTAAACACATTAAATAATTCAAGCCAATAACAATAGAAATACTAAAAATAGGTTATTTTACTTACATTATTAAATTTAATTAAATTTAATGTATCATTGTAGTAATATATTAATAAATAATAGTTTAAACTAATTCTAAAAATAAATACTTATAAACATATAAATATATTATAAATTCAATATATACCAATATGGCAATATAATATATATATATATATATATATTGGTTAGAAAAAAATGTACCTGGATGATATATTAGACTTTTGGAGATTTAATTTTAGATTTTTAACGGAGCGATGAATGTACCTATTGATTTTATATTAATATTGATGTTTTTTTCTTAGTTGGGAAAACATTTTTTATAGTAAAAAAAATACTTTGATCTTCAACTCTGTGAGTGATTTATCGTATGAAATCAGACCAAAAGTAAAAAATTCCGAGTTGTTTTCAATATAAATAATAAGGAAAAATGAAAAAAATGACAAAATATTTACTCAAAACAAGTTATCAACAAAATCAATTTTATTTTTTATTTTTAATTAAAAGATGAATAGCCATTAACTTGAAGTTGTTCACTATTTATTAATATTATCAATTACCAGATATAACAAAATAACTTAAAATGTTGGTTCTTTTTGTGTTTTTTGTATGTATGTAATATAATAATTTCTCCCCAAATTATTTTTAAAACTTTGTTATTAATTAATATTATGTAGAATGATATTTTTTTTTTTAATATTTCAACAAATCTTAAGCTGTTTATGAGAAATTTAAATTTATTTTTCGATAAATATAGTATATTATATATTTGATTAATAAGTTTGAAATGTAATGAAAGATACAATACAAGTTATTTGTTTAGTAATATAAAAATATTATCAGTACAAAAAAAAAAAAAAATTATAGATGTTTTTAATTAAAATCTTAACGAAATTGAATATTTAAACTTAGAAATAAATAGTGGTTTTAGCTATTAAATTGTAGTAACTTTCAATAATTAAAATGTTTTGCTATGATAAGAATATTATCATTTAATATACACATAACTAAATTTTCAAAATATTTAGATAAATTGTTTGCTATTTAAATCTTAAACCTACACATGTGTATCTACATTGTTAACGGTACGACAATATAATGACCTATAAGCTATAACCTATAACTTAATAATAGTTTAAGTAATATTATATGAAATATTATGTCATACATGTGATTTTTTTTTTTTTTTGGTAAAAATTAGTTCATCTTACTGTATTACTAATAGGAAAATAAATTACTAATAAGTAATAACAATACCTATAAATATGTTATAATAAAATAACCATTTGTAAAAATATAAGCTGACGAATGTTTCTACTTAAAATCGTTTTTCGTATGAAATGAATATTACCATTGAAATACAACTTAACAAATTTATTGAATCATTAAAGTGACAATTTCGATTTACACTCGACACCTAATGTTTTGGATTTTATACAATATTTTTGTAAACTATACAATAAAAAACGAAAAATAAAAACTTTAAGTTGAACGCCATACAAAATATCAGAAAGACCCGATTTCGTGCACAATATGTCTATTGGCTAACCTAACCCAACATTTTTTAAAACTTGAAAATAATATAATATATTCCTAATTTATAAACATTAAGAAATAATATATTTTCATCTGTGGATCTATCTAAAATTATGAACATTTCAAAATGTCGTATAATTGGTTTTAATTTATAAAACTTGTGACTTTAATTTCAATGACCTAAAAATTTAATACCTATTATACTACTAAATATTTCACGTTTTAATGTAAATTTAAAACGTATTTCTATAGGTTATAGGAATATTTAACGTTTAAAATTCGATAAGCCGAGAAACATCAAATTTCTTCTATAAATGTCTATGAATTTCAAAAAAAATTATTGTTTTCACATATAATATTTACTATTCGGTATTAATGTTCCGTTTTATAGGTTTCATCATTGACACTAGTTGTACCTTTATGTTTAATATAATTTAAATATTTATTCTATAAATGTGTACGATTCTATTAAACAAGCACTAGGACTAGGCACTATAATTTAATAATGACATTTAGAAATCTCAATTTTGAATAGGTACTGCAGTGGTATTACTTGTTTATCACGTAAAAAATGCATTTTATCGATGAAATAGTGTTTATAAGAAACGACTGAAAACCAGGAACGAATATTAATTTTCAGGAGTTTTATATTAAGTAGATAAACGAGTCGTGTATATTTTAAACGACGGAGTAGAAAACTGTAACCGTTGCACAAGCTATATAATAATGTTATATGTACAAGCAGCTGTGCAATGTTCCCATTACAAAACTACGTACATCTATAATATTCGCGTATATAATTTACAATGCGGGTACAGGTTGTTTCGCTTGGATCCAACTCATTCTACCTATAATTTACTGCAGGCACCACCGTACACGGTATTCTGGAATATATTATAATATATAATGTGACGTATATTAATATCATCGTACCTATATAATAGTATTACTTCGTTTGGTCATGCCGATTTTTATTAAAAATATTGATTTTTCAGGCACCCTCAAAGATTATTTTTAAAACTATTGATTTTGTCATCGTTATACTTGCGGGAAGCGGACTATTAGGAATTTTTTGCATGGTAGTCTGTGCAACAACATATCAATATAATATTATCTAAGATTATTGGGGACGATCGTGATATTGTATCTATTGTTATCTCTATAGTCTATAGCCACAGAAAATATCATAAATAATTTTTCGCTCTTTCACGCAGTTATAAATACATACACGTCACACACACATACTATAAATCGTAAATTTGTAATCTGCGACTCTGCGAGACTTCTTTACCACGACAACGGCAGTCACCGTCACACCATTCGTAGTTCGTACCCGTCATGGGACCCGATGAGGGAAAACCTGACGGATCGCAACCAAAGAACCCCCCCCCCCCCCGTTCCAAATGACCTAACAGAAGACCCGACTAAACCCGTCCGTAGGAATTCGCTCGTACGCAAACGACTCTACTCGTCGGCACACCTCTGACAAACTACAGATACCCGAGAGCGAGTCGAATACGGTAAAAAGACGCGCGCGACGGCGGCCGTCCGGACGAGCCGGGCACAAAAGTAGTGAAGCCGTGAAGGCTGAAAGACGACGTCACAACGACGTGAACGACGACGAGAACGTTGAGAAACGCGGCTGTCGTCGGATGGCAGCACCGGCGGCGGCGACACTAGCCGAACGCGGCCGACGCCGCGTCGGCGTCTCTCTCACCCACCAATCGTTGCACCTCTCTCGCACGCTCGTTCCCAATCCCACATACCCCCACTCGTTCTCTATCCCACTCATTTTATCGCACGCTCATTCCCTGTCCCTCACAGTCGCTCCGTTTCTCGTCACTCTCTCACTCGTCCGCGGTCGTAGGTCCCCTCCACTATTCAAACGAACACAAACACCCCGCGCTCCCTCCGCACCGTACGACGACTTGACGGTCGCCCCACTCCCCACCTCAACTCCCACCACCAAGACCATTCGTTTGAAATATCGCCACACACACACACATATGCACACGCACACACACGCAATGTTATACATGGTTTTTTTGTCCGACCCGTTCCCCCGTTAACGTCGTCAGTACGGTATACGCTGTCGTGACGTGCGTGTCCATGATACGACAAACGCGCACTTGATATTTCGCGATACGGTCGTATTTTGGTTGTGTGCGCGATCGTGACTGTGGATTTATTAATATTAATTTTTTCCCCCCCGCATTAAATCGCAGTAGTTAACAATTGTTTACGCATTTTTTTCTCCCAGCGCCGTTCGCTCCGCCATGAAGTGCGTTGCCGTCGTCGTCTCCGCCGATTTCGCGATGCGTTGCTGACGCGGCCCCTCGAGAGTTCGCGGAAGGAACGCGAGCCAACGCCGTCGGTGCGAGCTGCAGCACACGCACCGCCGACGGTGACGACAGCGCAGTGCACGCGCGACACGCCATGTCGGCCGGACCGTACGGAACTATCATGGACGAGTTGGGTGGCTTCACGGAGGTGCCCATCTCGTACAGGCACATCTCGCGGTTCCAGCCGTACCGAGTGCAACCGTACCAGGCACACGTACAGCCCGTGGCCGCGCGCAAGGTCAAGTCATCGACGGCAGTGGACCGGCGGACGATGGCTGGTGGGTGCCAGTACGACGAAAACCGACCCACGCACGTGCACCGGTTGTACCCCGAAATACTGGCGTTAATCTTCAGCTACCTGGACGTGCCGGACAAGGGCCGTGCCGCTCAGGTGTGCACCGCGTGGCGCGAGGCTGCCTGGTACAAGTCCGTGTGGCGCGGCGTCGAGGCCAAGATCGACATGTGCCGGTCGTCGCATCCCATGTACGAAAGCCTCAAGCAACGTGGCATCAAGCGCATCCAGGTGCTGTCGGTGTCCCGGTACAAGTGTCTGCGCGAAATTGTCCAGAACGTACCCAACCTGGTGTCGCTGAACATGAGCGGCTGTTACCACATCAAGGACGAAGACCTGCACCAAATGTTCCTTGAACACCACCCGAACATAACCGAACTTAACCTGTCGCTGTGCAAACAACTCACGGACGGCGGTCTCATACGCATCGCTGACACGCTGCGTGGCCTCACCCGCCTCGAAATCCAGGGCTGCTCGTACATCACCAACAAGGGTTTCTCGCACATCGCGAGGAAACTCAAGAAACTCAAGTATCTCAACTTACGGTCGTGCTGGCACCTATCTGACGTGGGCCTGTCGCACATTAGTGGCGCCAGCAAGGACTCGACCGACGGAAACGCGCAACTCGAGTTCCTGGGATTACAAGACTGTCAGCACATCACTGATGAGGGCCTCAAGTATGTATCTGAGGGCTTGCGCTCCCTGCGCAGTCTCAACCTTAGCTTCTGTGTCAACATCACCGACACAGGTCTCAATTATGTGTCACGTATGAACACTCTAGACGAGCTGAACTTGAGTGCATGCGACAACATCTCCGATATTGGCATCGGTTACCTGTCCGAAGGTTGTACCAAATTGGGCAGCCTCAATGTGTCGTTCTGTGATAAGATCGGCGACCAGGCACTTCTCCATGTCTCCCATGGATTATATGGCCTGCACACCCTGTCCTTAGGTTCATGCCAAATATCTGATGATGGCATACTGTACATATCGAAATCGCTTCGCAACCTCGAGGTGCTCAATATTGGCCAGTGCAACTCAGTCACTGACAAGGGTCTGGAGCATTTGTCAGATTCGTGTAAACTGTTGCGGTCCATAGATCTATACGGATGCACAAAGATCACCAAAGAAGCCAAAGAGAAGATTCTAAAAATGCCAAACATCAGAAGGGATACAGTCAATGAAGACTTGTGGCAGCTTAGATGACCTAAGGGATATTTTGTTTTTTAACATTTCAATATGTGATATATATTTATAATTTAGGTAAGTTAGTAACATATTATGTTTTGTTGAGAATATCGAGTTCTGCCATCATTTCAATTTGACAACATCTAATTCATATATTATTAGGTATTATTATTATTATTATTATTATTATTATTATTATCATGATTATTAATTATTATTATTATTATTATTTTTACCTATGTTAATAAATATTACATACCTAATTAAAAAATTTGTCATGCTTTCCTGCAGTTTTTATGTTATAATGACTTTATTTTTCTTTATAAATGAAATTCAAGCATTTCACTTAAACTTAGATCATCCAAATCTTGAGTTTATTTAACAAAATGTATCATCACTGACATCACTTTTATTATTTTGAAAAGCTGTAAATCATAAAGTCATTGTTAGTTTAATATTCTCATAGGTCAGGTTCCTTTTCAACTTCATTTAGTTAATTCTGTATTACAAATTGTATAATCGTTATTTCATTATGTTTTTATCTAAATCTTGACCTTCGATAACACTCTCCAAAGCTGACAGATTTTGCAATTAAACCATCCATCGTTGTTGGATTGTCTATTATTATTTTTTTTTTTTTTTTTTTTTTTATTATAGGTACTGTTCATTTTATGTTTGAACTAGGTACCTGACTCATCTTATTTTGTTATAACTCAGATACTAGTTTCACCCTGTTCCGTTCAATTACTTACATTTTATATATCAATGTGATAATTTAGTTTAATGCTCATCAACTAATAAAAATATATATTATATAAATAATATAACAAGGTAGAAATTTACTAAGTTTTTTATCATTATAATAATTTTTTTTTACCCGTTTATCATTATTTTTCTTTGTAATTAAAATTATAACCAATATTTTTGTTTCGTTTACATTTCTATTATTATTATTATTATTATTATTATTTTTTTTTTTTATTATTATATATAAGCTCAACAGAGATCAGACAATCTATATATTTGAACGTACTTATAAAGAAATAAAATTACCAATACATTGTTTAGGTCTCTTTTCTTTTTATATATAATGTTATTTTGTTTAACCGCACGTCCACTATTTGTTGAATAAAAATGCTTTTAATTGTTTGTATAATGTTAAATCTATGAACGATAAAAAAAGAAAAAAAACATTAACTTAAGACTTACCTATGTTTGTTTTTTCGTTGCGAATGAAATTTAGACTAAACGTTTTTTTGCTCAATGTGTGAAGCCAAACGGATTGGTTATTATTATTATTATTATTATTATTATGATTACCTATTATTATTTTTAATTGTGACTTGTGTTCGCGAAAACTATATACATATATGTAGGTAGGTAAAAAATAAAAACAACGTAACATTACGAGCCTTGACATTATTCCTAGTTACCACTCACTAGGTGACCTAGATGGAATCCAGATGATTAAAACACTGTAGACTATTGTCATTATGAAAAAAAAAAATTGTATATAAATATTTTTGTTAAAAAATTGATATATATTTAAGAACAAAAATTATACCTATTAACCATGGTTTTTATTTATATGTTATTTTGTGTTTTATTTTATCCCAAAAATCATCTCAAATGTTATGTTTAGATCTAGAACTTTAGAATATACTGTGCAGAGAACAATAGCTATTACTGGGTTCATAGGTAACCATAAATGGCCGGTTTAGGTAGGTACCGGTACGTTATTTTATCTTTAATTTTAGTTCTGCCAAATGTAGCGAGTTGTCAAGTATAATATTATATTTTATTCAAATAGTTACAAAAAATGTTTGCACTTGTTTTGTTAATCAAAGAATTATTTAATCAAATTATTGAATATTAAGTCTAGTACATAAAAATTAATAATCACGAGAGATTCGTGTTACGCTAATATCATTTTTATAATTTTTTTTTATTATTATTATCGAGCATAAGTTACGGATTATTATTTTTCCGTAAAAAAAAAAAAAAACAACCCTTCATATTATGGAATATGGATCATATTTATATTCAATTAATTATGGTTCGTTCGTTGGTGTTTTTTTTTATACACACCCTGATGGCTGACGTAGCGATAAATTGGGTTGCAGTTATATATTATTGGACACGATTTCTTTTCTCGCATCACAGGTAATTTTTAGAACATCTTTAAAACACAATTGGGTATTTATGTTCAATTATAAAAATGGTATTGTAAAAAATAGGTACATCACAAACGTCTACGATCTGACAAGAAAAACAATCAGACATCAATATGGAATACAACATGTGTTATGTTTTTCGCATTTGAAATATGTATAGTATTTTTTTCATTTTAAGGAAAATATGACCCGTGTCGGGTAACCGAATCGGAGTTATACATATTAGGAATGTCACGGTTCTCGCGATGTTTCTAAAATATAATTCACAGCACTGGTATACTTCTCCAGGCCCTCTTATATATAACGTTAAAAGTTAAAACGTTATGTAGGGGAATATAATAATATAATATAATATGTAACTATAGCTGCAAGAATTCAAAGCAATGGCAAATTTTTTGAATAATTTTCGTGCCTGCCGACGATGACCTTATTCTTTTCAGCTCGTCAATCTACACGTGTTACTATAATGGTCGTGTATGAGTAAAGTATTACAAAATGTGAGTCGTTACAAAACAGCGCTCGAGGATTTACGTTTTTCGATATGAAGTGCAATGACTGTCGATTTCGTTTGAAAATATCACCCCCGTCCGCTGTTTACACGTCCCTTATTATGAATTAAAATATTAGATGTAAAAAGAAGAAGAACAAACAATTATTTTTCAAAACTATTTAGCATCACGCAAACCTTTGTTGTTATTTTAGTTTATTTTTAAAGATTTATTAAATAATAATATATACTTTTATAATATATTATTCTATAATATATAAGCACACTCACATACAACAATAATGGTACTCCTATTATGTGTAATTATAATGATTAAAATAATGGGAGACCGGTGGTGGTAGGTATGTGTGTGTGTGTGTGGCAGGTTGAAACGGTCTTTGTGTAGGGTAGGAATGGGTGGGGGATGGCATGTTGTGGTGGTGGCGGCGGCGGCGGCGGTGAAGTGGTTACCACGGTAGGCTGGAGGGTGGGCGGATAGGGAAGATTATAGTTGCGGTGCAGCTGCTTCTGCCAGCAGGTATGTACGTTTTTCTGTCTGTACCCACCGCCTCCTTGTGTGCTTGTGTGTGTGTGTGTGTGTGTGCGTGTGTGATGTGCGTTTCGTGTTGCACGCCAATTCGGGCGGACCGCTTGTCAACGTTTGACAGGCTCCACCGCCGCCACGGCGTTGCATGTTCGGCGGCTGGTCGTTTTTAGGTACACATAAAATATTGTGTGTGTGCCGAGACCGTGTCGCCGTCCCTACGCACATCGAAAGAGGGGAAACTCGGGGCCACTAGCACCACATATCATTATCGTTGTTGTACGCGAACGGAAAGAAATCCTTACGAGTTGTGCTCCGACCCTCAGCCGTCGTTTCGGCCGTCGCCCTCGGGCCGTACCACCGGAGGGAGAGAAAATAACATACCTGTTTCAGACACAATAACGTAAACACGTTGTAGCGAACTAGGAGAGATTTCTCCGTCTCGCCCGAGTCCTATAGTTAGGTACAACAATATGATATATATAGCCTATTTTACGTGCATACAAGCGTCGCGTAATATGTATAATCCCCGAACGCGCGATAGCAACTGCACTTGCCCCCTTCTCGATCGCAAGTATTAACGCCTAGGCATGTATGAGTCCGCCGTGACTCGGCAGAGTTATTTGTTTTTTCTCTTGGGTGAGAACGATGATTTATTTGTCGACCGTATTTCGTGTGCGGACTGGACGTCGGACCAGCGCGAGGAGGATCTGCAAAATTGTATGATGTCGTATACCAGCTCGCCCCGGTGTTTTACGGTCGTTTTTCATTATTTCTTGAATCGAAAGGGTGTCGCGAACGGATTGCAAGAACACGATGTGGTTTTTCGATCGTCGCGCTACCAAAATCGCGTTGCAACGCCCACGCACAAAACGTCCGTCGTAATATTTATTGTGATAATGTTTTACGTAAGCTAACACCGATTTTTTGCACCGTACCGCGTAAGGTGCTCGTTGCAGTACAGCTTTTGTACGCCGATATTTTCGATATTAGTAGTCTGCGGTGTGCCGGTGTAGCAGTTTACCGCAGACCCGATACGGTCCCGCTACTGCAATATTGTAGGTACCGTGTTAATCGTGTAATAAATTATGTAAAATATATTATATTCTTATGTTGCAGTATTGGTTTGATATTAATTATGTTGTAAGTTTACAGCTATAGGTAAATGATCTCAGGTGTAGCATATACATCGGTTGTTTTGTAACGTCCGAAATGCAGGGGGTACCCCCGAACACGAAAATACGTAACCAATCTATGCGAGTGTCTATACCTCGAATGTCGCGAAAATGTATAAACGAATGTATCCAGTAAATAGCTATAAATAATATATATATATATATACACGTTTATACGGTATACGAGTAACTGGTACAATTATTATAGAAATTGTATTCAATTGAAGGAACACAATATATTGCATTCAAATGCGAAAACACTTGCGTTTATGCCGTACAGTATATCTGTATATTTATAATAGCGTATGACACGAATCGATTCAATTTTTTTCTCGGTATTTAGGTAATCCCTTTTGAATAACAGAATGCGCTTAAAAATACGGATGGTTGTATACAATATGAAAATGACAAAAGATCAAACACGACTTCGCCGCCACCCTTTGCCGAACAGAGACGCTTTTTTTTTCAATCTACTGCAGCTCTATTATTATTTTTTACAACAGTATATTATACGAAATAACTCATTAACAACACTCGACATATTAACAGAATTAATAAGCGCATTTAAAAGCCTATAAATTATTTCATTACGAGTCAACATTTAACTATATAACATTATATATGCTCATTCTTTAGGTATATAGTAATACTTTAAAATACTTGTTTCTTAGCGAATTGGACATATCTATTCTACAATACACCTAATAGACAATTCAAAACATAAACACGCATACCCTGACATTACCGTATACCCAAGAATATCATCCAAGAATAATATCTAAAATTTGATAGATCCTTCTTTTCTTTTTACTTCCTACAACAATTTACAGTCAGTATTAGATTTTACAATTTATTTTACAAAAGATTTTTTGTATCTAATCCTTTAACCAACGATAAGAAAAATTCTTTTGTACAGCGTTATCTAAAAACGGTTAGTGTAAATAAAATGATAAAAAAATGCATTTTACACGGAGTATACACATTAGTCATAGTCCATAGACATACAGTAATAGTATTATAGGCGTGTGATAATAAACATAACGGTGAGACAAAGTTGTTTATTCAGTTAAAACGCTTTAAAATCTCGTGATATTTTATAATATGATAAATATATTATGAAACTTAATTTTAAGTTATATATACGACTTAGTTCTTTATGATCATCATTGATTTTCATTCAACGCCTTTGTATAATTATTATTTTTATTCTGTATGTTAAATCTGTTCTATCAGTGTTTTGAAAATAAATTTAAAATTTTCTGATGAATTAAACCTTACTCAATTACATTCTAAAACTGTTTTAATTAAATTTAATTAATAATAACTAATTATATTATAAGAAATAAACACTTATTTCCATCATATATAACTATAAGGTGTATTATAATAATACTACAATATCTTTGTGAAGTATAAGTAATATTAAATTTAAAG